AACGATCTACCCTGTGCATCTTACAATGGTGATCTTGAATCATACGTTGATGATACGAAAACTTTGTTATCGTTTCCTTTAACGGAAGCTGACACTGGAATTAAAAACCTGGAAGAAGACCTACATAAAATTGCGTCTTGGTGCTGTGAAAACAATCTTTTGGTGAATCCAGATAAAACAAAATTCATGATCATTGGAACCAGGCAGCTGATGAACGAACTTGATGTCAATATTTCGATCTCTTTTATGGGGAAGATTCTAGAACCTGTTGATTTTGCCAAAGATCTAGGACTTCTAATGGACAGTCACCTAAGTTACGATAAGCACATATCGAATCTAGTGTCGTCCTGCCTTTATAAACTGTGCCAGATAGACAGAGTTAAAAATAATTTTGACAAGGGAACACTTACAATGATAATCACTTCATTAGTGATCAGTAAACTGCTCTACTGTTCCACTGTATGGTCAAATACAACATGCACTAATATAAAGAAACTTCAATCTATTCAAAACTTTGCATGTAAAATAATCACAGGATCCAAGAAATACGATCATGTAAGCCCATTACTCCAAAATCTTGAGTGGCTCACAGTTGACAAATTACTCTATTTCCGTGATGCCGTAATGACTTTTAAATGCATGAACAACTTAGCGCCGAAATATCTTTGTGACATGTTTGAGAAACGATCTTGTATTCATAATCGGTCTACGCGGAACTGCAACTCAATACAGATACCATTGTTTAAAACAGCGTCAGGGCAACGGTCATTTGCTTTTAGAGGAGCTTCAATTTGGAATAACTTAAACACTGAGCTAAAGAAATGTACATCACTTAAGACATTTAAAAGTCAACTTAAAGAACACTTACTGTCTACTTAGACTATAGACTACTTCCTATTTTAGACTATTAAAAACTTAGATATCAGTCATTTTTATTCCTAACTTTGTAGAAACTGTAAATATTTTAAAATTGTAGTTTTATAAAATAATTTTGTAAATGGGTTCTGAAAAACCCTTTTGGGAGAAACCATTAATTTTAATAATAATAATAATAATAATATTATTTAAACACTCATTAATAATTCATAAGCTTATTGGCAAATCATGTCAACCGTAATATGTCACGTGCAGTGACTTTAAACCTGATAAAACACTCCTAATTAGTATTCTTTAATACTAATAAGGCGGTATCTATTGTAGTCGTGCCCTCATTAGTATTCTTTATATAAAGAATACTAATAAGGCAGTATATCTATATTGAATTTGTAGTCGTGTTTGAAGCCGTTTAATAAACTCGCAGGTTGTGTTTTATTAGGTCTAAAGCCACTCGCGCTGCGCTCTTGTGGCTTTAAACCTAATAAAACACTCCTGCTCGTTTATTAAACAGTACATAATATATTACCTATTAATAATGTCCATGCTTAGGTCACATGCGAAATAAATAATTTTATTGGTTTTTATTATTTTCACTTTTTGCACTGTATTTCGTTTTTTGGACTGTATTTCACTTTTTGGCACTGTATTTCGAAACAAATTGTACTGCTCTGAGCCAATCAGAATTGAGAAATGTTTTCATGTTTTCATTAGGTCTGTAATGAAACACGCGTGATTACAAAATCGCACGACCGCGAAACGGGAGTGCGATTTGTAATCACAAGTTTGATTTGTGCAGGACATGAAATTTATTTTTTCGTTTTGGAATCTTGAACATTTTTGTAAACCGGAAATACTATATTATTTTACAAAATACACCCTCTGATACTCCCCAGGGGCTGATGTTTCAAAGCTGGGTTAATTAGCTTAACCCTAAGTTAACCTAAAATTCAAAGCAAACCTCCTGACAGCTTGTCTATAAATTTGGAAATATTTCTTCAGAGATCTTGTCTGGATCGATAGGAGTTTACTTCTCTGAAGTTTTGAAATAAACAGATGTGCAGAAATACATAAACTAAATCAGTAGGTTGAATTTTAACTCAGGGTTAACGCTAACCCACCTTCGAACAACCGGCCCCAGAATGCCGTAGCATTGCTATACACATGAATAAGATGTCACTCTCTTTTGTTTTATGAATAACACGTGCATGAATAAGACATCAATTATACTTTGGCCATGTAAGGAATACCCTGTCGAACCTGATCTGAAAATTAGGACTGGAGAGTACATCTGCTATGCATCATGAAGCCAATGGCGGCCATATTGATGTGACCACTGGAAATCTACACTGGTGTTTCTGATACATGTATGTTGAAAAAGTCTTTAAAAGTGGCACTGTCAGTAACATTTTTATTGTCTCAAACGAAAGAACTCCTAAAACTGTAAAGTAACTTCTTTTGAAAAGATTGATTCCCATGGTTTGTTCTTGAGATATTTCATTTTGTTTGAAACCATGTGACGTCGTTTACTCAATTACATATATAATGAGCTATTAGTAATGTTGTGTATCTTTGCTGTTTTTTAAGGATTTTTTTAAAAAACAGAATGCTATGGAAAGATTTTGAAAAAATAACAAAGATACACAACAATTACTGATATCTCATTATATATGTAATTGAGTAAATGAAGTCACATGGTTACAAACAAAACGAAATATCTCAAGAACTAAGAATGAGAACAAAAATCTTCAAAAGACTTCACGGTACACTTTTAAGAGCATTTTCGTTTAAGAAAACAAAAATTTAATGACAGTGCCACTTTAAGATTTCTGGTGAATGGTGGGAATAAAAAAATGCCGAAAGTGAAATTAGTTATTTGTGGCCTCTCTTCCTTCTGAAACATGCCAGTAAATAGTTAATGAGTTAAATCAATATGGCCGCCTCAAGTCTCATTATCTCATGTTTATAACGATCTAAAACTTATGCATCAGTCAATTCCAGCAGCGACCGTCCCCCCCCCCCTCCGGAACAACCCCCGGACATTGGTAAATTTTCATTTTTTTCGTGCAAATGCCCGGGGGTAGGGCAAAAAAGGAAGGAACAATGCCCTACCCTTGGGACGAAAAAGCAAAATAAATACCCCACCCGGGCCGACAAATTAGTCAATTTCAAAGAATGTACTAAATTAATTACATGCGTGATGCGTTTTAACAATTTATATTTATACGTACGTCTGTTAATTGTTCTTTTGGGTATTTAAAAAAAAAACAAGGAAAACTATCGTGTTCATTTCAGATGAAAACATCGACGAAAGGCTGTGACACACTTGCTTTCATATGCAGAAAGTTTTTCATTGTAAACACAATATATATAATATGGACTGAGGAAATTCTTATACATTGATTCACACTTGAAAACCAACATTCAACAATACTATAATATAAAATTTGTTTAACGTATTTAAAAGTAGTCCATTTTGGCATATACGACAAGGGAAACTCATGGTCGCGGTCTTTTCTCCGTGAGCGACAAATGCCCGGGGGTAATAACCCGATATTGACAAATGCCCGGCCCCCGGGTGAACACGCAGCTGCAAATGCCCGGCCGTGGGGACAAGTAAGCGTAAAAATGCCCCCACACTGTCCCGGGGGGGGTGGTGGTCGCAGCTGGAATTGACTGATGCATTATTAGAAGATGTGTGGGAAGCTGTATCTTTCAATTTTTTGTTTGTTTTATTGTTCTTCTAGATTATTCCAAAATAAATAAGTTTTGTCTGACGTTTCGGTTTCCTATACGAAAACCATTTTCGAAGACTTGAACGTCAGACAAAACTTATTTAATTTTGTATTAATCTAGAAGAACAATAAAACAAACAAAAAATAAATGAACCTGGATTCAAACCTTTTAACGAATTACGGAGGTATCTTTCAAGTTAGGTAGAAGATATTTGTTAGATAGAATAACGAAATTAATCACACGACTTGATTTGCAAGGAATGTGACAGAATTAAAAATTAATCTCTGCTCGTTATAAATATTCTGGCCACAAAAGTAGTCCCTGAATTAAAAAGGTTGCTCAATCAATGCTTGTAGCACATATCAAAATGGATAGTGTGTTTTTATAAAAAAATACAACAGGATTGTTTTATCCACACAGAAAGTCCTTGTCACGTAAATGCTGTTGCACATTTCATCAATGGATTGGCTGAATGCTTCTGTAAACACGGTTTCTATGGAAATGGAGAAAATTGCGCAGGTATAACTTTTCAGGTTGAAGGAATTCTATTATTTGAAAAATGAATCAATCAAAATTGGGTGAGTAATTTTTATTGGGTGTAATTACATAGGTGATTATTGAAAATTCTCCACGCTGATTGGTTGCCGTTGAGGTGATTATAACGTGATAATCACCTAAGCGATTTTCGAAATGGCGGCCGAGGCCATTTTGTCAATTAAATGACGAACAAATGTGTATTTATTATTTTTTCCAAATGATCACCTATGAAATTATCCTAAAACAATTATTCAGCTCAGGCTCCGTGATTATCGTGAATAAAAACCTCGACTTCGTCTCGGTTTTTATTCGCCGATAGTCACCTCGCCTTCGGCGAATAATTGTTAAATACTTAAACTAATTTGAAACTAATAAAATGACATTTGGTGCATGTTTTACGAACACGTCATGACGCTAAGAAACTCTAAAAACTGTATCTTGCAAATTTATGGTCATGTTAAGTTACATCGCGAAAATTTCTGTCATGCGTTCCAAATCCAGGTGTCAATCTCGATTTCGGTGATTTACGTTGATGTTGAATACAATAATACAATAAAAAGTAAAAAATGTTGATCAAAGTGCATCTTTAATTTTAGATATAAACGAGTGCTGGAATTCTTGTGCATGTGGTGACGGTCAAGAATGTGTTAACCTGGAAGGTTCCTATGAGTGTAGAACACCTGAACCAGGTAGTGTATAATAGCGAGCTTAAGATGCACCAAATCTGCGACGCGGACGCGACTAAAAAACAGTCGTTAAAGTGAATTGGAGGCTGGTTTTACTTTGTTTTTCTCGTATCCCTGGCTTTGTTTACCAACTGCCATCGATAGTTTTTACCCGTGAAATGAAACTGTGCTAATAGCGGCAGTTTTTCGTCACGTCCGCGTCGTAGATTTGGTGCCACTTAATAACGAAACTCCCTATTAGGGTGTTTATAAGGCGTGGGTTGTCACAGTTGGCAATTAAGTATTTTGCCCGACCAAAAGGGCGTGGCGAAAGTCGTGCCCAATGGACATTTCAGTCCCTTATTAATATTTTTTTCCCGAGAGGGGGGGAGGGGAGAGGAGAAAACATTTTCGAACATACCATTTTTCACTAACTCACCGAAATTTGTACAATTTTTCAGTAATATTTTCGTAATTTTCAGTAATTTGAAATGTAAACAAACATTGAAAAACGTTTGCAGTTAATAATTGCATGCAAATGGTAGTAATTATTCATCATTGAATTGGTGTTGCATGTTCTAATGCGATCAGATTTTCTGTTATCCCATATTATGATCAGCGTCCATGTCATCCAAGATATTTAACAATTAGTCGCCGAAGGAGAGGCAATTATAATTCTATATTCACTGAACCGAAGGTGAAGCGAATATTTAAAAAAGAAAACGAGTCGCGTGCGTTTATGGTGTGATAATCCACGAAGGGAATGTTTGGAGAATACGAGAGAAGCCTGTAATTCACGAGGCGTAGCCGAGTGTTTTACACGCCTCTCGAGTGTTTTCCCAACATTCCCCGAGTGCTTTATCACACCATAAACGCACGAGACAAGTTTTTCTATTTCTTTTATAATGTAAGTGGAAAATATTACATATAGTAAACAATTTTACTCAAAAGATCGACGTTGAAATTCTCCTAACGTGTACTCAGTGACGTCACGCGCATGCTGTGCAACCATAAAAGGAAAAGGTTAATTGATTGTGAACACTCAATTGCAAGATCTATGGGTAGCTGGCAAACAAATTAAACTATTAAATGAATGTATATAAATTGCCACTCGATAATTTCCATCTACAAGATCCTTCAACTTTTATTCAATCGTGTGAGATGCGCAACAAAATTTCGAATTTACCCATAACTTAACATGGCAGTACCCTAGGATATATACATGAACTTGTGGTTAGAGCTCGACAACTGGCCTCTGTAGCTCAGTTGGTTAGAGCGCTGTACCTCAATCGCAGGGCCGCAGATTCGATTCCTGCCAGGGACCTATATAGCTAGTTGCATTTTTCGCAACTATTCCGTGTTAGGTCTAATAAATGTATATATATTTTCACTCAATAATTTCCATTTACAAGACAGTTCAACTATTATTCAAACGAGTGAAATGCCAGCAAAATCTTGATATTTACCCACAGCAAAACATGACACGGCTATTATGTTAGAAAACATTATCACCGCACAATTGCAGGGTTCAAATTTGTATATATCTGCACAATATAGTAAGGTTCCGTTTTGCTACATAGCTTTTCACTAAAATTAACGATCGCTGACCTAAAGATTAGTGCAAGCAGACGTATAGGGTTTGCTCAACTATACGCAAAATGGACAACCTATAGCTCGACCAGAGATGACCAAAATAGCGATATTTTAATGACAAAATTAAACATCAACTGAATTGAAATAAAAAAATTAACTTACCTAATGCTTTGTTGAAATTTTGTTGAAGTATTCTGCTGACCAAATCTCGAGGTTTTTTCCACAAATACAAACTTTTACATCAATGCAAACTTTCCCTTACTTTGCTGATATTAAGATGTCCGTCTCATAGCATAAGCAACAGTTTCCAAAAATAAAGTCGATGTCGAAAAACAAAGAATCGACAAATGTTCGACCTGTCGACAATCGATCTTTCGATCTTTCTATATATACACCTGCAATATTATTTTAATGGTTATCGGCACACGAAACATACATGCTGGTTTAACGTAACATAGTGGCTAGCCCCTGACCGGTCAGGCACAAAAAAGCACAGTGAGTCTCTTTCCGTACCTCCATTCTCTCCAACAGAGATTACTTGCGATGACAACGCAGAAGAACATGAGATTAATGGGGTGACTGAATGTTTCTGTAAACCTGGTTTCCACGGAAACGGAGAAAATTGCACAGGTATATATATTTAAATACCAATTATTTACTGATCATTTACTGATTTAAATTAAACTTGATTTCTTTTTCTGATTTTGGTCAAAGAATTATTTTTTACAAATACATAGATTTGCCGATTGAGTAACTATATAGATTTTTATAATTTTATATATACTAGCTTTTCATAATTTTGATATTGAAAAGTGAATAAATGTAAAAGTTTCTGAAATGTTCTCTGATCCTATAATTTATTTCGTAAAACGTTTAAAATATCTATGATTCTTTTTTTGCAGACATAAATGAATGTTGGAATAATTGTGCATGTTCTGGTAATGAAATATGCGAGAACATCCCAGGTTCATATCTTTGCATACCACAAGGACCAGGTATTTGTTACCTAGTGTTTTTGTACGAAGTATATTCCACTGGAAATACTGATATTTCTTCGTTACTACATGACTGTTCACGTTATGTTCTACGATACTATAGAAAACTATAAATAAATAATTCTGGCATTCAATGTTTCCATAGAAGTTAATGCTGTGGGGTAGGATGATAAAATCACGATTCACTATGTTTATTTCCAATAGAGGACAATTGCCATCCTGATGCTGTGGGGCATTTAATCAACGGTGTAATAGAATGTTTCTGCAAACCTGGATTTTATGGAAGTGGCGAAAATTGTACAGGTATATGCTTCAAAAACAAATGCGAAATTTTTTGTCATGGTTACCAAAGTCAAAGAGTCTTTAACGAATCAAGTAATTTGAAATATTTTAAATCCCATTATATGTTCGCTTAAGATTTCTCGATTAAGGATATATACAGAACATTTTCATACATTTTGGTATCGAAAAGTACATGAACATTATTGTTTCATTTAAGATCTTTCGGTAAAAAGTTTAAATTAAATACAAACAGTATTCGCATGATATTTCTTTGAAACGATTTCCACATATCATTTCCGTCTATCAGAAAATTATTTCGATAATTATACTGTAGTCGGATAGCATGGTCACCCACGTTGCTATTCAATTAAAAGAAAAAAGGATGTGTTTGAAAATATTTATGATTTAGTTTCTTTTTTTGCAGACATAAATGAATGCTGGAACAATTGTGCATGTTCCGGAGATGAAATATGCGAGAACGTCCGAGGTTCATATACTTGTCGACCTGGAGAACCAGGTATTTATGAAGTAGTCTGATGTTATTGTAAAAAGTATATTCCACTGAAGCTAGTAATGATTTTTCTCTGATTTCCTCGAAACAAGTACGTACGGCGGCGTATAGGATGATAGAATAATGACTAATTCACCATATATATTTCCAACAGAGGACAATTGTCATCCAGATGCTGTGGGGCATGTAATCAACGGTGTAATCGAATGTTTCTGCAAACCTGGTTTTTATGGAAGCGGCGAAAATTGTACAGGTATGCATCAAAAACAGATTTGTAAATTTTTCATATCATAGTTACAAAAGAGTGTGTGCAATCTTATGAATCAAGTAAGTTCATCAATATTAAATCCCTTTTTAGTGTTCATGGAAAATTTCTCGATTGACTTAATATGTATCGAAGGTTTTAAATTTTTGTTTTGAAAACTAATTAAACATCGTTTAATCTTAATCGTTCGGAAACACAGTTTAAATTGAATTCAAAGAGTAGCTACTTGATTTATATTTATACGAAAAGTTTGCCGCCTATTATTACCGTCAAAACAGTCAACTAGTTGGACAGTATGGTTGGTTACCTTGCTGCAATTAATTCAAAGTTAAAAGAACGTGTTTCAAAATGTATTTGAATCTTTTTTTCTATTTGCAGACATAAATGAATGTTGGAACAATTGTGCATGTCCTGGAGATGAAATATGCGAGAACGTCCGAGGTTCATATACTTGTAGACCAGGAGAACCAGGTAATATGTGTTACATAAAATTTTTGAACAAAGTATATTTCTATAAGTACTCTAGAGTTGAAATTTCATCCTTACTACTTACTACTTACCTGTTCATCCTATGTTTCGAAACAAGTTTATAGTGTTGTGAGGTGAGGCGATAAATTAACGATTGACCATGTTTATTTCCAACAGAGAACAATTGCCATCCTGATGCTGTGGGGCATTTAATCAACGGCGTAATCGAATGCTTCTGCAAACCAGGTTTTTATGGAAGTGGCGAAAATTGTACAGGTGTGTGATTCAAAAGCAAATGTGTGTATTTTTGTGTCATAGTTAGAGCAAAGAGCTATTAACGAAACAAGTAATTCGCAAAATTTTGAAATCTTTTGTTACGTTCACGGAAGATTTCTAGTGAATATTTACCGAACGATTTAATAATTATTTGTTTTGAAAAGTAAAAAATGTTTTTTCATTTTAAATGTTCGGAAATCCAGGTATCTGTTAACTGTCATAATGGGCTGCTCTGGAAAAGATTGCCGCGTATCTTTCCGGTCAAGATTATACAATTAGTTGGACAGCATGGTCACCTTGCGCGCAATTGATTCAAAGTTAAAAGAACGTGTTTCAAAATGTATTTGAATCTTTTTTCTATTTGCAGACATAAATGAATGTTGGAACAATTGTGCATGTCCTGGAGATGAAATATGCGAGAACGTCCGAGGTTCATATACTTGTAGAGCAGGAGAACCAGGTATTTGTTACCTAAATGTTTTGAACAAAGTGTATTCCTATAACTACTGTAGAGTTGATATTTCATCCTTACTACTTAACTGTTCACCCTAATAGTTTGTTTCGAAACAAGCTTATAGCGTTGTGAGGTAAGATGATAAATTAACGATTGACCACGTTTATTTCCCACAGAGAACAATTGCCATCCTGATGCTGTGGGGCATTTAATCAACGGCGTAATCGAATGCTTCTGCAAACCAGGTTTTTATGGAAGTGGCGAAAATTGTACAGGTGTGCTTCAAAAACAAATGTCTGTATTTTTGTGTCATAGTTAGAGCAGAGAGTTTTAACAAGTCAAGTGGTTTGGAACATTTTGAATTCTTTTGTTACGTTCACGGAAGATTTCTCGATTGAGTGAATATTTACCGAACGATTTAATAATTATTTGTTTTGAAAAGTAAATAAATGTTTTTTAATTTTCAATGTTCGGAAAACCAGATATCTGTTACCTGTGATAATTGGCTGCTCTGGAAAGGATTGCCCCTTATTTTGCGATCAAGATTATACAATTAGTTGGACAGCATGGCCACCTTGCTGGTATTGATTCAAAGATAAAAGGCCGTGTTTCAAAATGTATTTGAATCTTTTTTCTACTTGCAGACATAAACGAATGTTGGAACAATTGTGCATGTCCTGGAGATGAAATATGCGAGAACGTCCGAAGTTCATATACTTGTAGACCAGGAGAACCAGGTATTTATTACCTAAATTTTTTGAACAAAGTATATTCCCATAACTAGAGTTGATATTTCATCTTTACTACTTAACCGTTCATGCTATGTTTCGAAACAAGTATATAGTGCTGTGAGGTAAGATGATAAATTAAGGATTGACCATGTTTATTTCCAACAGAGAACAATTGCCATCCTGATGCTGTGGGGCATTTAATCAACGGCGTAATCGAATGCTTCTGCAAACCAGGTTTTTATGGAAGTGGCGAAAATTGTACAGGTGTGTTCTTCAAAAGCAAATTTGTGTATTTTTGTGTCATAGTTAGAGCAAAGAGTTATTAACGAATCAAGTAATTTGGAACATTTTGAATTCTTTTCTTACGTTCACGGAAGATTTCTTGATTGAATGAATATTTACCTAACGATTTAATAATTATTTGTTTTGAAAAGTAAATAAATGTTTTTTAATTTTAAATGTTCGGAAAACCAGGTATCTGTTACCTGTGAGAATGGGCTGCTCCGCAAAAGATTGCTGCGTATCTTTCCGGTCAAGGTTATACAATTAGTTGGACAGCATGGTCACCTTGCGCGCAATTGACTCAAAGTTAAAAGAACGTGTTTCAAAATGTATTTGAGTCTTTTTTTCTATTTAAGTAAAGTAAATAAACATTGTTCTAAAGTAAATAAACATTGCTTGATTTTAAATCGTTCGGAAACAAGTTTAGATTGAATTCAAATAGTATTTGATGTTTATCTAAAATCTAAAAAGATTTCTTCCTGTCTTTCGTTCAAGTCAGAAAACTATTTAGCTAAAAGCTAACTAGTTAGTCAGCATAGTGAGCCATGCTGCTATTGTTTGACACACAAGAGAATGTGTTTCAAAATGTATATACTTCTTAATCCTTTTTTAGACATAAATGAATGCTGGAACAATTGTGCATGTCCTGGAGATGAAATATGCGAGAACGTCCGAGGTTCATATACTTGTAGACCAGGAGAACCAGGTAATATGTGTTACACAAAATTTTTGAACAAAGTATATTTCTATAACTACTGTAGAGTTGATATTTCATCCTTACTACTTACTACTTACCTGTTCATCCTATGTTTCGAAACAACTTTATAGTGTTGTGAGGTGAGGCGATAATTTAACGATTGACTTTGTTTATTTCCCACAGAGAACAATTGCCATCCTGATGCTGTGGGGCATTTAATCAACGGCGTAATCGAATGCTTCTGCAAACCAGGTTTTTATGGAAGTGGCGAAAATTGTACAGGTGTGCTTTAAAAGCAAATGTGTGTATTTTTGTGTCGTAGTTAGGGACGGACCATTTGATTTTTGATGGGGGTGGGTATAGAATCGCAATAAAAAAAAATCGGGGAAGCTATTCGAACTTCAAAAAAATATCGTGCAAGAATAAACGGACAAAAAAGTATCGAGCAAGACTTTCGTGTGGTAATCCTTTTTTGCCATTCGGAGCCGTTTCCACGTGTAGCCCATGGCCGTATGTAGCAACCGGTGGGGGGGGGGGGGCTGCAGGGTCCAGGAAATGGCATTTCAGAGTCTCTAAATTTAAAAATTTCCTCTGGCCTTCGGCCCTCGCTTTCAGCCCCCCAATGAAAAAGAGCTTCCTACGGCCCTGTAGCCTAAATAATAGGAGGACCAGTATAATTCCAAAAATGGTTGTTCTTTATTTCTTTACTCCGACTCCTATGATGAACATGTACGTAAAATACTACGAAAACTACGATTAAATCACGGCCGTAGAAACTAAAATAGGTGAAATTTTTATGGGACACGATCAAAGGCGAGGATATAAGAGCGAGTGATTGAAATGGAGTAGGAATAACGTACAGGGGTATGCGTTTCGACCTAACAGTTTTCTTCAGCAGGGATTTTAAGAGGGGGAGGGGTGTAGATATAATTTGAGGGATGAAAATAATGATAACACCGTGCAGGGTTTGATTTTTGTTTAATTGAAATATATGAATATACAATAATAACTAAAACATGTACATATATAACAAAACCAAAACAGAGATTAGTAAATGAATGATACGATATGACCAATAGATAGCTATAGCTAGTTCTTGTGTGGATTTTGCTACGTAGAGGATCCAAGTTCACATTATTTTCCGAACTCCTAAACTCTCCTTTCTTCTCCTCTGCAAATTCTATATACCTCCCTTTAAAAAACCCTGCTGAAGAAGACTTTTAGGTCGAAACGCGTGTAGGGTTGCCTTTCCTACTCAATTCAATCTCTCACTCTTATATCCTCACCTTTTATGGAGTCCCATAAAAATTTCACCTACTTTAGTTTCTATATATAATCGTAGTTTCCCTAGTTTTTTACGTACATGTTCATCATAGGAGTCGGACTAAAGAAATGAAGAAAACCATTTTTTGAATACTGGTGCTCTCATAGTTAGGCTACAAAATGTCTTACACCAATACTTGTTCACTGATTACCTATTATATAGCAAAAAATGTAAAAACAAAAACCTAAAAAATGTATATACATGCACACAAAAAAATATCGTGCAAGTCCTCTGACTGACAAAAAAAATCGAACAGTGTCAAGAGGCGGAAAAATATCGAGCAAACTGAAAATCTACCCCCTCAAAAGTCAAATGGTACGTCCTTTAGAGCAGACAGTTATTAACGAATCAAGTAATTTGCAACATTTTGAATTCTTTTGTTACGTTCACGGAAGATTTCTAGTGAATATTTACCGAACGATTTAATAATTATTTGTTTTGAAAAGTAAATAAATGTTTTTTCAATTTTAAATGTTCGGAAATCCAGGTATCTGTTAACTGTCATAATGGGCTGCTCCGGAAAAGATTGCCGCGTATCTTTCCGGTCAAGATTATACAATTAGTTGGACAGCATGGTCACCTTGCCGCAATTGATTCAAAGTTAAAAGAACGTGTGTCAAAATGTATTTGAATCTTTTTTTCTATTTGCAGACATAAATGAATGTTGGAACAATTGTGCATGTCCTGGAGATGAAATATGCGAGAACGTCCGAGGTTCATATACTTGTAGAGCAGGAGAACCAGGTATTTGTTACCTAAATTTTTGGAACAAAGTGTATTCCTATAACTACTGTAGAGTTGATATTTTATCCTTACTACTTAACTGTTCACCCTAATAGTTTGTTGCGAAACAAGCTTATAGCGCTGTGAGGTAACATGATAAATTAACGATTGACCACGTTTATTTCTCACAGAGAACAATTGCCATCCTGATGCTGTGGGGCATTTAATCAACGGCGTAATCGAATGTTTCTGCAAACCAGGTTTTTATGGAAGTGGCGAAAATTGTACAGGTGTGCTTCAAAAGCAAATGTGTGTATTTTTGTGTCATAGTTAGAGCAGAGTTATAAACGAATCAAGTAATTTGCAACATTTTGAATTCTTTTGTTACGTTCACGGAAGATTTCTAGTGAATATTTACCGAACGATTTAATAATTATTTGTTTTGAAAAGTAAATAAATGTATTTTTTTAATTTTAAATGTTCGGAAATCCAGGTATTTGTTAACTGTCATAATGGGCTGCTCCGGAAAAGATTGCCGCGTATCTTTCCGATCAAGATTATACAATTAGTTGGACAGCATGGTCACCTTGCTGCAATTGACTCAAAGTTAAAAGAACGTGTTTCAAAATGTGTTTGAATTTTTTTTTCTATTTTCAGACATAAATGAATGTTGGAACAATTGTGCATGTCCTGGAGATGAAATATGCGAGAACGTCCGAGGCTCATATTCTTGTAGACCAGGAGAACCAGGTACTATGTGTTACATAAATTTTTTTAACAAAGTATATTTCTATAACTACTGTAGAGTTGATATTTCATCCTTACTACTTAACTGTTCACCCTAATAGTTTGTTTAGAAACAAGCTTATAGCGCTGTGAGGTAACATGATAAATTAACGATTGACCATGTTTATTTCCCACAGAGAACAATTGCCGTCCTGATGCTGTGGGGCATTTAATCAACGGCGTAATCGAATGCTTCTGCAAACCAGGTTTTTATGGAAGTGGCGAAAATTGTACAGGTGTGCTTCAAAAGCGAATGTGTCTATTTTTGTGTCATAGTTAGAGCAAAGAGTTATTAACGAATCAAGTAATTTGCAACATTTTGAATTCTTTTGTTACGTTCACGGAAGATTTCTAGTGAATATTTACCGAACGATTTAATAATTATTTGTTTTGAAAAGTAAGTAAATGTATTTTTTTAATTTTAAATGTTCGGAAATCCAGGTATCTGTTAACTGTCATAATGGGCTGCTCCGGAAAAGATTGCCGCGTATCTTTCCGATCAAGATTATACAATTAGTTGGACAGCATGGTCACCTTGCTGCAATTGACTCAAAGTTAAAAGAACGTGTTTCAAAATGTGTTTGAATTTTTTTTTCTATTTTCAGACATAAATGAATGTTGGAACAATTGTGCATGTCCTGGAGATGAAATATGCGAGAACGTCCGAGGCTCATATTCTTGTAGACCAGGAGAACCAGGTACTATGTGTTACATAAATTTTTTTAACAAAGTATATTTCTATAACTACTGTAGAGTTGATATTTCATCCTTACTACTTAACTGTTCACCCTAATAGTTTGTTTCGAAACAAGCTTATAGCGCTGTGAGGTAACATGATAAATTAACGATTGACCATGTTTATTTCCCACAGAGAACAATTGCCATCCTGATGCTGTGGGGCATTTAATCAACGGCGTAATCGAATGCTTCTGCAAACCAGGTTTTTATGGAAGTGGCGAAAATTGTACAGGTGTGCTTCAAAAGCGAATGTGTCTATTTTTGTGTCATAGTTAGAGCAAAGAGTTATTAACGAATCAAGTAATTTGCAACATTTTGAATTCTTTTGTTACGTTCACGGAAGATTTCTAGAAAAGTAAATAAATGTTTTTGAAAAGTAAATAAATGTTTTTTTAATTTTAAATGTTCGGAAATCCAGGTATCTGTTAACTGTCATAATGGGAAGCTCAGGAAAAGATTGCCGCGTATCTTTGCGGTCAAGTTTACACAATTAGTTGGACAGCATGGTCACTTTGCCGCAATTGATTCAAAGTTAAAAGAACGTGTTTCAAAATGTATTTGAATCTTTTTTCTATTTGCAGACATAAATGAATGTTGGAACAATTGTGCATGTCCTGGAGATGAAATATGCGAGAACGTCCGAGGTTCATATACTTGTAGAGCAGGAGAACCAGGTATTTGTTACCTAAATTTTTTGAACAAAGTGTATTCCTATGACTACTGTAGAGTTAATATTTTATCCTTACTACTTAACTGTTCACCCTAATAGTTTGTTTCGAAACAAGCTTATAACGCTGTGAGGTAAGATGATAAATTAACGATTGACCATGTTTATTTCCCACAGAGAACAATTGCCATCCTGATGCTGTGGGGCATTTAATCAACGGCGTAATCGAATGCTTCTGCAAACCAGGTTTTTATGGAAGTGGCGAAAATTGTACAGGTGTGCTTCAAAAGCAAATGTGTGTATTTTGGTGTCATAGTTAGAGCAAAGAGTTTTAACAAGTCAAGTGGTTTGGAACATTTTGAATTCTTTTGTTACGTTCACGGAAGATTTCTCGATTGAGCGAATATTTACCGAACGATTTAATAATTATTTGTTTTGAAAAGTAAATAAATGTTTTTTAATTTTAAATGTTCGGAAAACCAGGTATCTGTTACCTGTGATAATTGGCTGCTCTGGAAAAGATTGCCGGTTGTTTTGCGATCAAGATTATACAATTAGTTGGAGAGCATGGCCACCTTGCTGGTATTGATTCAAAGATAAAAGACCGTGTTTCAAAATGTATTTGAATCTTTATTTTCTACTTGAAGACATAAACGAATGTTGGAACAATTGTGCATGTCCTGGAGATGAAATATGCGAGAACGTCCGAGGTTCATATACTTGTAGACCAGGAGAACCAGGTATTTGTTACCTAAATTTTTTGAACAAAGTATATTCCCATAACTAGAGTTGATATTTCATCTTTACTACTTACCCGTTCATCCTATGTTTCGAAACAAGTATATAGTGCTGTGAGGTAAGATGATAAATTAAGGATTGACCATGTTTATTTCCAACAGAGAACAATTGCCATCCTGACGCTGTGGGGCATTTAATCAACGGCGTAATCGAATGCTTCTGCAAACCAGGTTTTTATGGAAGTGGCGAAAATTGTACAGGTGTGTGCTTCAAAAGCAAATTTGTGTATTTTTGTGTCGTAGTTAGAGCAAAGAGTTATTAATTCGAATCAAGTAATTTGGAACATTTTGAATTCTTTTGTTACGTTCACGGAAGATTTCTCGATTGAATGAATATTTACCGAACGATTTAATAATTATTTGTTTTGAAAAGTAAATATTAAATGTTTTTTTAATTTTAAATGTTCGGAAAACCAGGTATCTTTTAACTGTCATAATAGGCTGCTCCGGAAAAGATTGCCGCGTATCTTTTCAGTCAAGGTTATACAATTAGTTGGACAGCATGGTCACCTTGCCGCAATTGATTCAAAGTTAAAAGAACGTGTTTCAAAATGTATTTAAATCTTTTTTTCTATTTGCAGACATAAACGAATGTTGGAACAATTGTGCATGTCCTGGAGATGAAATATGCGAGAACGTCCGAGGTTCATATACTTGTAGACCAGGAGAACCAGGTAATATGTGTTACATAAAGTTTTTGAACAAAGTATATTTCTATAGCTACTGTAGAGTTGATATTTCATCCTTACTACTTACTACTTACCTGTTCATCCTTTGTTTCGAAACAAGTTTATAGTGTTGTGAGGTGAGGCGATAAATTAACGATTGACCATGTTTATTTCCAACAGAGAACAATTGCCATGCTGATGCTGTGGGGCATTTAATCAACGGCGTAATCGAATGCTTCTGCAAACCAGGTTTTTATGGAAGTGGCAAAAATTGTACAGGTGTGTAATTCAAAAGCAAATGTGTGTATTTTTGTGTCATAATTAGAGCAAAGCGCTTATTAACGAATCAAGTAATTCGCAAAATTTTGAATTCTTTTGTTACCTTCACGGAAGATTTCTAGTGAATATTTACCGAACGATTTAATGATTATTTGTTTTGAAACGTAAATAAATGTTTTTTAATTTTAAATGTTCGGAAATCCAGGTATCTGTTAACTGTCATAATGGGCTGCTCCGGAAAAGATTGCCGCGTATCTTTCCGGTCAAGATTATACAATTGGTTGGACAGCATGGTCACCTTGCCGCAATTGACTCAAAGTTAAAAGAACGTGTTTCAAAATGTATTTGAATTTTTTTTCTATTTACAGACATAAATGAATGTTGGAACAATTGTGCATGTCCTGGAGATGAAATATGCGAGAACGTCCGTGGTTCATATACTTGTAGACCAGGAGAACCAGGTAATATGTGTTACATAAAATTTTTGAACAAAGTATATTTCTATAACTACTATAGAGTTGATATTTCACCCTTACTACTTACTACTTACCTGTTCATCCTATGTTTCGAAACAAGTTTATAGTGCTGTGAGGTAAGGCGATAAATTAACGATTGACCTTGTTTATTTCCAACAGAGATAAATTGCCATCCTGATGCTGTGGGGCATTTAATCAACGGCGTAATCGAATGCTTCTGCAAACCAGGTTTTTATGGAAGTGGCGAAAATTGTACAGGTGTGCTTCAAAAGCAAATGTGTGTATTTTTGTGTCATAGTTAGAGCAGAGAGTTTTAACAAGTCAAGTGGTTTGGAACATTTTGAATTCTTTTGTTACGTTCACGGAAGATTTCTCGATTGAGTGAATATTTACCGAACGATTAAATAATTATTTGTTTTGAAAAGTAAATTAATGTTTTTTAATTTTAAATGTTCGGAAAATCAGGTATCTGTTACCTGTAATAATTGGCTGCTTTGGAAAAGATTGCCGCCTATTTTGCGATCAAGATTATACAATTAGTTGGACAGCATGGCCACCTTGCTGGTATTGATTCAAAGATAAAAGACTGTGTTTCAAAATGTGTTTGAATTTTTTTCTTCTACTTGCAGACATAAATGAATGTTGGAACAATTGTGCATGTCCTGGAGATGAAATATGCGAGAACGTCCGAGGTTCATATACTTGTAGACCAGGAGAACCAGGTATATGTTACCTAAATTTTTTGAACAAAGTATATTCCCATAACTGGAGTTGATATTTCATCCTTACTAGTTAACCGTTCATCCTATATTTCGAAACAAGTATATAGTGCTGTGATGTAAGATGATAAATTAACGATTGACCATGTTTCTTTCCAACAGAGAACAATTGCCATCCTGATGCGTTGGGGCATTTAATCAACGGTGTAGTCGAATGCTTCTGCAAACCAGGTTTTTATGGAAGTGGTGAAAATTGTACAGGTATGTGCTTCAAAAGCAAATGTGTGTATTTTTGTGTCATAGTTAGAGCAAAGAGTTATTAACGAATGAAGTAATTTGGAACATTTTGAATTCTTTTGTTACGTTGACGAAAGATTTCTCAATTGAGTGAATATATACCCAACGATTTAATAGTTATTTGTTTTGAAAAGTAAATAAATGTTTTTTAATTTTAAATGTTCGGAAAACCAGCTATCTATTACCTTTGATAATGGGCTGCTCAGGAAAAGATTTCCGCCTATCTTTCTGGTCAATCTTATACAATTAGTTGGACAGCATGGTCACCTTGCTGCTATTGATTCAAAGATAAAAGAACGTGTTTCAAAATGTATGTGAATCTTTTTTTCTATTTACAGACATAAATGAATGCTGGAACAATTGTGCATGTCCTGGAGATGAAATATGCGAGAACGTCCGAGGTTCATATACTTGTAGACCAGGAGAACCAGGTAAGATGTGTTACCTAAAGATTTTGAACAAAGTATATTCTTATAACTAGACTTGATATTTCATCCTTACTACTTAACTGTTTATCCTATGTTTCGAAAGAAGTTTATAGTGCTGTGATGTAAGATGATAAATTAACGATTGACCATGTTTATTTCCAACGTACAGAGAACAATTGCCATCCTGATGCTGTGGGGCATTTAATCAACGGTGTAATCGAATGCTTCTGCAAACCAGGTTTTTATGGAAGTGGCGAAAATTGTACAGGTATGTGCTTCAAAAGCAAATGTGTGTATTTTTGTGTCATAGTTAGAGCAAAGAGTTATTAACGAATCAAGTAATTTGAAACATTTTGAATTCTTTTGCTACAATCACGGACGATTTCTCGATTGAGTGAATATATACCGAACGATTTAATAGTTTTTTGTCTTTAAAAGTAAATAAATGTTTTTTAGTTTTAAATGTTCGGAAAAAGTTTAAATTGGACTCGAAGAAAATGTGATATTAATTATCTGAAAAGATTACCGCCTATCTTTTCGGTCAAGGTTACACAACTAGTTGGGCAGCATGGTCACCTTGCTGCTATTGATTCAAAGATAAAAAAATGTGTTTCAAAATGTGTATGCATCTTTTTTCCTTTTGCAGACATAGATGAATGCTGGAACAATTGTGCATGTCCTGGAGATGAAATATGTGAGAACGTCCCAGGTTCATATACTTGTAGACCAGGAGAACCAGGTATCTGTTACCTAAAGTTTTTGAACAAAGTGTATTCCTATAACTAGAGTTGATATTTCATTCTTACTACTTAACTGTTCATCCTATGTTTCGAAACAAGTTTATAGTGCTGTGGGGTAAGATGATAAATTAACGATTGACCATGTTTATTTCCAACAGAGGACAATTGCCATCCTGATGCTGTGGGGCATTTAATCAACGGTGTAATCGAATGCTTCTGCAAACCAGGTTTTTATGGAACTGGCGAAAATTGTACAGGTATGCTTCAAAGACAAATGTGTGTATTTTTTTGTCATAGTTAGAGAAAAGGGTTTTTAACGAATCAAGTAATTTGAAACACCTTGAATTCTTTTGTTACGTTCACGGAAGATTTCTTGATTGAGTGAATATATACCGAAAGTTTTAATAATTTTTTTTTTGTTTTGAAAAGCAGGCCTTAAAATATCGGTCGGTCACGGACATTGTCCGACCCATTCGTGAAATTGTCCGACGTAGAAAGGAAACCACCGGACATTCTGTCCGACCTAAGTGAAACTGAGATTTATTGTTTGTCCGACCCGACTCACCCGAGTGTATTGGTGTCCGACCGAACTGTAGCTTTGTCCAACGTAAATCAAAATGTACCCTAGCCCAGGACAAGAAACTTGTGTGTTAAATGGAAAATCAGAGTACTACCGGGTGGCCCAAAAAAAAGTACTCCTGTTTGATTCGTAATAACATCTAAACAAGTATAGCTTTTAAAGAGAAATAACTTGCATCAAATAGAGGAAGGACTAACTTAGACTTTGATATATTACAGTTGTATTTCACTTAAAAATTCACGGAGATATTAATCTTTAAATTCGGGAGGATATTTCTGGATGTGTCTGAAATATGCAAAAATCGGCGTATCAAATATTAATCAAGATTTGCCCGACTGAAACATGCACTATTACCAGTAAATAAATGACACTTGACAAATTGTTTATTATGAAACAAAGTATTATTATATCTACAAAATACAAGCAAGATTCATTCGTCCGAAATTCGCGTGTGTTCCTAGCACGAATACGTTTCCTTATTTCATGAGACCACTGCATCGCGAAGGATCGTCATTGGATCGTTCGTAGTTCTGAATTAGGGCATGCTGTCACAACGGAATTGTGAAGCTCTTCTAACTTCTGCAACGTTCTGAAATCTTGTTAAGAACACCCAAACTCTTTTGCCGTTTCTTAATCTTGGCAAGTTCATGGAGTAAACTGAGAATTATATGAAACACAATCAAACCATACAACTCCATAAGACATAACAATTAAGCAACTCCCCAGAGACATGCAACATTTTTGGAACAAAACGTAACAAAATAGTAGCGTTGATACGGTGATGTGTATTTGCAAAAAGCAATATTATTTCCTTCAATAAAGAATATTCATCCTGCTCTAACCGAGAAATAATCTACTCAGTCTGTTTGAACCCATTAAAAACATAAAAAAATTAGGCTATTTAAGAATACGAAAAATTTAAGCGCCTGCCTTCCATGGTCAGTCTTTCATGTACATTTAAGTTTGCAAAGACCTAATATTAAATACTTGCATAATTTCGAACGTTCATATTTCAGGAAACAATGAGCTAAGACTTACATGTAAGATGTCTAAATCTACGCCATATCCCTTACAAACCTTAACGATAATTCGCTGAAATACAAGTTAGCCTAATATGTCATTAAGCAAACAAACGCTGGAGTTAATATTTGATATGCCGATTTTCGCTAATTTTAGACACATTCCAAAATATGCTCCCCATTTTTAACATTAATATATCCGTGAATTTTTAAGTTAAATACAACTGTAATATATCAAAATCTAAGTTAGTCCTTCCTCTATTTAATGCAAGTTATTTCTCTTTAAAAACTTTACTTGTTTAGAAGTTATTACGAATCAAACAGGAGTACTTTTTTTTGGGCCACCCGGTATTGTATAAAAGGTCAACTGGAAATGTTGTTTTAACGTAGTCGAGCACGGGGCGGCGAGCGAAATGGTGAAGTGGAAAACGGGCTTAAGTTGTCGAAGTCTTTTTGATACTGCTGTTCTGGAAAGCAAGTTAATTTTGGCTTGGAAATAAGTATGAAAAAAACAAATTATTTAATATTTTTACAACATTTACCGTTTATTCATTTGGGTCATTCAGACTTATTTCCGAGTCAAAAATGAACTGAAGGTCATCGGACATATGTCCGACCCAAACTCAACGTCACCGGACATTTTGTCAGACGGCCCTGCAAAAGATATTTTAAGGTCTGTGAAAAGTAAATAAACATTGTTCCATTCTAAATCGTTCGCAAACAAGTTTAGATTGAATTCAAATAGTATTTGATATTTATCTAAAACCTAAAAAGATTTCCACCTGTCATTTCGTTCAAATCAGAAAACTAGTTAATTAAAGCTAACTAGTTTAGCAAGCATGGTGAGCCATGCTGCTATTGATTGACACACAAGAGAATGTGTTTCAAAATGTGTATGATTCTTATTCCTTTTCTAGACATAAATGAATGCTGGAACAATTGTGCATGTTCTGGGAACGAAATATGCGAGAACGTCCGAGGTTCATATACTTGTAGACCAGGAGAACCAGGTATTTGTTAACTAAAATTTTTTGAACAAAGTATATCCTGCTGGAACTAGTACTGATATTTCTTCGTTACTACATTACTGTTCACTTCATGTTCCACGATACTATAAAAAACTATACTTTGGCCGGTTGTACGACAGGTGGATAAATCGCTATCCGGTGGATAAGTCCCTATCCGGCGGATAAATTTTATCCGGAGTGAAAATAATAATAATAATAATAATAATAATGATTTATTAACAGATCCAACAAAGCGGCTTTTCCCTGTTAGGTACTACATTAGTATTAATGTTCTACTAATGCGGTAGTCATTTGAAATCACGCCCACCCCCCACCCCCGGGACATAGGAGGGAATCTAACACGAACCAAGTGTTAAAATCATTAAATCCACCGCCCCTGGGGCAAACTGGTCTGTTAAAACCCCCGTACGGCCGGGCTTTAGTATACCTAAACAAGACAAATTCCGCATCATGCATGCATTTGAATTACCTGTCTTCCGCAACTTCCAGATTGAATTTCCGTCAAGTATTGTATTGACAATGTCTGGTCATGCATATCAAAATATCGATATGAAAATGTAAATAAATATGCAAATATAAAATGTAAACAATAATAAAAAATATCCAAACAATGGAAAAGGCGATGCCTGATACTTATTGAATATTAACAGCAGCGGATGGCTGAGGATTAAGTATAAAGTTTCAAACTAAAATATAAAGTTTCAAACGCACGTACCTGTCGAGGAAGTTTTTCGCCAGTCGCCATTTTCGTTTTTATGACCCTATCCGGTCATTTTAAGTCCCCAGTTATCCCCGGTCTATTTATATATAGCGGCTGTTAACTCCCTGGTCAATTCCCCGATTATAAAAAAAGTTGTTAATTCCACCGCCCTCCGGGGCATAGCATGTTGTTAAATAGCGTTAAATCCCCGCAAAATTTTGTTAATTCCCCGCTATGTCCCGGGAGTGGGGGGGGGGGGGGCGTGATTTCAAATGACTGAATTGAAGCATAACATGATATTATATAAAACTCTACTACTAATTATTGTAACTAAAACTATACTACAATTTACAAAGCCAAAAACAAGTTATTGCAACGTTCCTTAGCTATGTCCATAAGGTAGTTCTTTGATTGTATGCTAAAACTAACAAGAGTTTCACAATTTTTAACATCGTTCGGAAGAAAAAAAAATCGCGTTGTACGAAGCTTGGATAGCGCTATCCAACGGATAAAAATGCACTATCCGTTGGATAAATTTATCCGAGGTCCGGAGGTAGTAAATCCACTCTCCGGCGGATAAACTCAAAGTTTGAAGACAAAACAATGTGTATTTCATTTAAAAGGGATTGCTATTGTGATAGAAATGGACAAATACCGTTTGAAAGTCCCTTTTTTGACACTAAATAAACATGGAAACTTACTTACGACTTCTCTTGCTCTTGACGTACCGAGCTCATTTTGAGTCACTTTCCCATTAAATAATGCCATGACTTTGCCATATTTTACGCAGACCAGTGTCAGTGCTTAGACGTTAAGTTTTCTGGCTGTTTTCCTTCGTTTTTCTATTATATATATTTAAACGAGTTCACTTCAACGCCAAACAAATAGCTACACGTAAATAGACAACAAGGCCGTCAAGGCGCCGAAAGTCGAAAAATTTTGTTCGCTGGCCTTGACCAGCCAATCAAATCTTGAGAGAAAATGTTCTTAAAATTGTTTTGAATGAAGTGAAAGGTCAATGAACAAATATTTGGACCGTGGACCGTATGTAAAATAAAACTGAATCAACTTACTGAAACAAGAAAACAAAACTCGCAGTCTTTGCTATTCAATTGCCTATTGCCTTCGCAAAAGAAGCCAAACATCTTTTAAAGAAATATCGATAAGTAGATAGCAAACTCTTCACTGTGGGAAAACGAAGTATTGCAACGATTGGACGAGAAAAACTCCAAATACAAACATGAACAAAAAACCTTTATTGCAAGTTGATAGTTCAAAGGTTAGTGGAATTCAGAAGTTATACGAAGATATTACAACAAAAGTTTACAAATACCTAGCAACAGCTGACGTAGAGATAAGAAATTTCAGGAAAATCCGGTTTTCTCCGGTTAATATTAAGGTTATCCGACGGATAGTTATCCACCCTGTTATCCGTGCTTCGTACAACGCATTTTTATTCGGCAGATAGCTATCCATTGGATAGGAGATTTATCCATTGGATAAGACTTATCCACTGGATAACTTATCCACCTTTCGTACAACCGGCCCCAGATAAATAAGTCTGGCATCCTATGTTTTCATACTAGTTAGTGCTGTGGGGTAGGATGATAAAATCACAATTCACCATGTTTTACCAATAGAGGAGAATTGCCATCCTGATGCTGTTGGACATGTAATCAACGGTGTAATCGAATGTTTCTGCAAACCTGGATTTTATGAAAGTGGCGAAAATTGTACAGGTATACTTCAAAAATAAATGTGTACATTTTTTATGTCATAGCTACCAAAGAGTCTTTGACGAATCAATTAATTTGATACATTTTAAATGATCCTTTTTACTTTCACGGAAAATTTCTCGTTTGAGTTAATATACCGAAGGTTTTCATAAATTTTTGTTTTGAAAAGTAAATAATCATTGTTTAATTTAAGATCTTTCGGAAACAAGTTTAAATTGAATTCAAATTGAATTCAATTTTAATATCTGAAACTATTGTAGTTGGATAACATGGTCACCCATGTCGCTATTGAATTAAAAATCAAAAGAATGTGTTTCAAAATATATATGAAGGGTGAAAATTGTACAAGTATGCTTCAAAACCGAATGCGTAAATATTTTTATGTCATAGTTTGAGCGAAGAGTCTTTGACGAATCAGGTAATTTGAAACATTTTAAAGCCTTTTTACGTTAACGGAAGATTTTTGGATTGACTGAATTATAACCAAAGGTTTTCATAATTTTTCTTTTGAAAAGTGAAAAAAAATTGTTTAATTTTATATCTTTCGGAAACAAGTTTTAATTGAATTCAAAGAGTATAGAAGAGATTGCCGCCTATCATTTTGGTCAAATCTGACAACTAGTTGGCTAACTATATATATAGTTGGCAAGCATGGTCACCCTTGCTTCTATTCATTGAGAGACAATATGTTTTTCACAATGTATGTTATTCTTATTCCTTTTGCAGACATAAATGAATGTTGGAACAATTGTGCATGTTCTGGAGATGAAATATGCGACAACGTCCGAGGTTCATATTCTTGTAGACCGCGAGAACCAGGTATTTTTTAGAAACTAAAGTTTTTGAGCAAAGTATATTCCACTGGAACTAGTGCTGATATTTCTCCGTTACTATACATTACAGTTCACTTCTTGTTTTGTGATTCTATGTTTCTAAACAAGTAGCGTCGGTACTCATTTGATAAAACCATAATTTTGCATGTTAATTTCCAACAGAGGACACTTGCCATGAGGATGCGATCGGGCATACAATTAACGGTGTAAACGAATGTTTCTGCAAATCTGGTTTCTACGGAAACGGGGAAAATTGTACAGGTATGTTTGAATTGTGAATTTTTAAATTCATTGATGATGTGGTTGACTTAGTTAATAGAACAGCCAATTGGTTGCCTTTACCTCTATATATCATTTTTAATTTTTTTTAATCAAATTATTAAACTACCACTAGTATATAAATTCTTGGCAATCGTAGTCTAAATTGAAATCGCAAAAAGTGTTGTGATAAGTAAAAAAAAAATTGCTGTGGAAGCCAGAAAAAAATTGAAATTTTTAACCGATTTTTGTTTCCCAATCAGAAAGGCTGATTTTTGCACACTCATGGTGATATCACATTTATTTAATATGGTGTTGTTAATTGAAGGAGATAAGAGTGTGTTTTACAGTATATTGATCATTGTGTTTTTAAGACATAAATGAATGCTGGAATTCTTGTGCATGCTCTGGTGATCAAGTATGTGAGAACTTGCCAGGTTCACATTCCTGTAGAGAAGTTCCAGGTATAATGCTGATATTTTTATCTTAAAATTTCGATCCAATAGCACTTACTATTAATATAATAAGTCTTTTCAATGTTATTGGAGATTGTATATTGCAAACAAGTTAGTGGCTGGTTATACCATACTGGTACCATACAGGTATTAGGATACTTTTCCTGAAAATATCGTTTAATAGCCTAGTTATTAGCTGATACTGTAAATTATGACATGTAATTTTAATCAGTGAATGTTTTGGCTTTTCTTAATGCTGTCCTTATAAGATTTTACTCCTAGCTACCTTTCTTTTGAATAATATTAAGTTCAACTGAGATAGATCACGATTACTATACTACATGTACGTCAATTCATGTATTATTTTATTTTGTGTCTGTGTAGATGTTGATGAATGTGCTCTTGGAACTGACAACTGTCACAATAATGCTACATGTAATAATACAGATGGTTCATTTGAATGTAGTTGCAATGAAGGATATTCAGGGAATGGTACAAGCTGTGAAAGTAAGTGGACTGTGAAAGCAATATTAATGAGGGAGGACCGGTTGTTAAATTAGGATGGTGGACTGACCTATCGGGTTCGCAGTTTTTAGGATTATCTTCTATTTTAAAGTCGCACCTAAGATGTGCTGCAGGTGCACGCTAAACTGACGTCAAACGTTGTACTTTATCTTATCTGGCTGTGAAGGGTAAGTGAAGTGTCCTTTCTGCAGAGTTAGCACTTCATTTCCCGATAGCATGTATACTGTAGTTCCATTATTTTGTTATAAATGACAATTTATTTTGGGCTTTTAAATGATAATATCTAATCTTTAACAGTATATGTTAAAAATATAGGCTACGTTCGAGTCAGATTAATTGCTTTGATCTCACATTATTTTATAAACAGAATTGCAATGTAGCTCATGAATTTATTCATCAATTAAAACTTTTCAGATATTGATGAATGTGTAGACAGATCTCATGATTGCCATTACAACGCTACATGTACTGATACTGACGGTTCATTCAATTGTTCTTGTAATTCCGGCTTCTCAGGAAACGGAACTTATTGTCAAGGTTGGTTACAGAATACTTGCATATTGTGATATTATAGACATTTGGTTCATAATTATTTGACCTTCGCTTATTGCCAAGCTTTCTCAGACTCTAACACATGTGACTGCTGTAGGGCGATTGCTAGTGATACTCCCGTCAATGATTGGAAATAAAAGTTCTGAAAAAGTATGCGTGTGAAGAAGTGAAATATGCGTATATAGATATACATGAAATAGCCGACGTCTCCCAGAATTCAGGATTTTGTCCATTTGAGAATGTAAAACTTGCCACATACCTTGTGAATACGATGTTTTACTTTTGGATTAACGCCAGTATCGTTGCTTTTCTTTCGGAGTGCATATTATTTGGAATATTGATGATAACATTTTTCAAAATTTCCTTCAAAATTTTAAAAAAAAGAGGTTTTTCTCATCCTTAGTATATTTTTTCGGCCATCTTGTTTGCGTGATCGCCGCGCGTAGTTTATGCGAATCATGTGACCCGGGTGACATGATCAAATCGCCATGTGATATATGATTCAAGCCGTCAAATATGATGACGTATGGTCCGATTCGATGACAAATTTCATGCTCATGTGGCACAAACTTAGCTCTCTGATTGGACATTTTGAATTTGAGGTATAATATTACAATACATTTCACATTATTACATGTTGTCCAACACTAACGCAGCTGGGATTTATATTCTCAGTTAAGCAATCATGTATCAATAAATTTACGTCAATTCATATATTATTTTATTATGTGTCTGTGTAGATGTTGATGAATGTGCTCTTGGAACTGACAACTGTCACGATAATGCTACATGTAATAATACAGATGGTTCATTTGAATGTAGTTGCAATCAAGGATATTCAGGGAATGGTACAAGCTGTGAAAGTAAGTGGACTGTGAAAGTGATAATAATGAGGGAGGACCGGTTGTTAAATTAGGATGCTGGATTGACTTATCGGATTCGCAGGTTTAAGGATTAGCTTCTATTTTAATTAAAGTCGCTACCGAAGAGGTGCTGCAGGTGCATACTAACTGACGTCAAGCGTTCTACTTTATTTTATCTGGCCGTGAAGGTTAATAGAAGTGTCGTTGCTGCAGAGTTAGCACTTCATTTCCCGATAGCATGTATAGTTCCATTATTTTGTTATAAATGACAATTTATTTTGTGCTTTTGGTTTGATCTCGCATTATTTTATAAACATAATTGCAATGTAGCTCATGAATTTATTCATCAATTAAAACTTTACAGATATTGATGAATGCGTAGACAGATCTCATGATTGCCATTATAACGCTACATGTACTGATACTGACGGTTCATTCAATTGTTCTTGTAATTCCGGCTTCTCAGGAAACGGGACTTATTGTCAAGGTTGGTTACAGAGTACTTGCATATTGTGATTTTATAGACATTTGGTTCATAATTATTTGACCTTGGGTTATTGTCAAGCTTTCTCAGATTCGAACACAGTGACTGCTGTAGGACGATTGCTAGTGATACGCCCGTCAATGATTGGAAATAAAAGTTCTGAAAAAGTATGCGTGTGAAGAAGTGAAATAAGTGTATGCATAGATATACCTGAATTAGCCGACGTCTCCCAGAATTCAGGATTTTGCCAATTTGAGAATGTAAAACTTGCCACATACCTTTGTGAATACGATGTTTTATTTTTGGTTTAACGCCAGTATCGTTGCTTTTCTTTCGGAGGAGTGCATATCGTTTGGAATATTGATGACAACTTTTTTCAAAATTTCATCTCATCCTTAGTATATTTTTTGGGCCATCTTGTTTGCGTGATCGATGCGTGTGGTTTACGCGAATCATGTCACCGGGTAGTCTCCTCACTCGCAGACGTTCTTATAGCTCTAACCACAGGGAGCCCAAGCGTTGATCTGTGTTAATGTTGTATGTTTTTCAGTTTATTTATTTTAGTGTCTTTATATTGCATTTTAATTTAATTATAACACTAAATTACACTAATATGTCATATAATAATAATACTCCTATAGTCGAACATATAATAACAACATATAAGTTGATTTGTATTTGTATGTTTTTCAGTTTATTTATTTAAGATCTATTATTACCTTATATAGCACCGCCTTTCGAACCTGACAGCCCGTTCGCAGGATACACGCGTTATTTCGCACTGAAATAAGAAATGTGACAAGGGATGAAATTACAACACGGCGATGTTTTATTTTGAAGCCGTATGTGCTTGTTAAAACGAATTTTAGCTTGAAATTCGGCCGCATGATATGTCTAAGGCTAAAGTACATAGCCATTGAAAACTTTTGCGATATAAAAGCCCTATTTAAATAGGCCTTTATAGATTGTGCTACTAATTTGAGCAAAAGTTGCTCACAAAAATGGGGAAAAGTTGCTCAAAAGTTTCCAAAATTGAAAAAAGTTGCTCCCCAAATTCAAAAAGTTGCTCCCAAAATTCAAAAAGTTGCTAGCTTTGTCGCAACGTTATTATTGATAAACAACACAAAATAACATAAGTTTACTTAGAACTATAATAGTATTTGTATATAGTGTCTGTCATGATCAAGTGAACTTTTCTTCAAGGAAAGCATTTCACTACAGGCATTACAACGGAGAGTTCCATTCAATCACATCAACCTGTCCCAAGTACTTACACTCTTGACTGCTGACAAACTGCTTCCTCTTCCTTTGTATTTGCCTTGGTTGACATGTATTTTTCGCTTACGAGAAATTGAAGCGCTTTGTGGAACAGTTAGGCTTGCTCCAGCATTCGTGGCTACCAATATTGGATCAATAACATCAGTTTCTTCAATGTCAGAATCAGAGGAGTTAGATTCGCTTGAATGCAGGTGCTCTGCCATGGATGAAAATATGCAATTTTATCCTTTTTCGTTCATTATTTACATCTCATCGAATAACCGCTGTAAATTTCAATTGTTGTTCGGAGGCATCTTTAAATAATTACTGCAGTCCATTGTCCAATTAGCATTCATGGGCGCACATTAACAATGATCCCTACGGCCTACGTCATTCTTTATTGTCAAAATTTGTTAATTCATTAAATTAAATATTTGATTTAATCTTTTATTTCCCCAAATGTTCATTCTGTGCTTAATTAAAAAGGTTGAAAGTTGCTCATTTGGTGCTTAAACAGTCAAAAGTTGCTCGAGGTTGCTCGAAAGGCAAAAAGCTGCTCAAAACTCCAAAAGTTGCTCATAAGTTGCCGAGCACAATCTATAAAGGCCTTGCCCTAGAGTCTTATAAATTGCTATAGTTTTTAATAGCGACGCTTCGTAGCATTAACGCCCCGACTTGACTGGACCCTAATGTATTTAATTTTTAATTTTAAACATTGAAACCGTTACGGTCGACACAAATTGGCTTCTCACCTTGAGTTGTATTCGAGTTTGCTTCCTTGTTTATATCATTGATTCCTAAATGTTGACGGCTTTATTCGACACGACACTCATTGCATAAGTATCGGTCCACTCAAGTCGGGGCATTCATAACACGACAAACTTTAAGAGTTTCATCACTTGTCACGTATTTATATTGTTGCCGCCCCCTATTTCAAATCCCGCGCGTATCCTGCGAACGGGCTGTCAGGTTCGAAAGGCGGTGTTTTTATATAAGCTAATAATAGATCTTAAATAAATCAACTGAAATTAAAAACATACAAATACAAATCAACTTATATGTTGTTATTATATGTTCGACTATAGGAGTATTATTATTATATGACATATTAGTGTAATTTAGTGTTATAATTCAATTAAAAGGCAATATAAAGACACTAAAATAAATAAACTGAAAAACATACAACACTAACACAGATCAACGCTTGGGCTCCTGTGCTCTAACCCTCGCTAACTAACGTTTGTTGAAACGAGCTGCACATTCCATTCCCTCCGATCGACCAATCACAGCGAACCTTCTATATTTCGGAAAGTGATTTACGGGCGGAATAAATAGTACATAAATATTTTTATATTTTGAAAGCAGTCTTCGGTTGAATTTTGGTCAAAATTGCACATAAATTGAATTTAAAGACAATGATACTTGTCCAGGAAATAAAATGCGCCATTAATTATCAGATTCGGATATTAAACTCTTTTTCGACCACCCCCTTTCGCATCAGATTACGACACAATTTTTCTAATATAAATATCTCGGCGAGTATTTACCCCCCTTGTAAATAAAAGCCACCATTGAAATCCTAATAAAATAACCTTTCGAACGGGGGGTCAAGTGCCATCAGAGCATTACACAAACCGAAACAATCATATATTTACTCACCGCTTGGCCAAAGATTCTAGATTTTATATCTACAAGATCTTGAATATCTCTTGAACTTTTCGTCATTTCCTGAACGGCTATATGTGTA